CAAGAACTCCACAATATCTGAAAAAAAAAACATTTTCCCGGGTTGAGTTACGTGATTCCAGAACACCACAATAAGTTCAAAATCCCTTTTTGAAAATTTTTGAGATTAATACAATCAGGAAGTCATTCAGCCAGCATGCTGCTGATTTAAAAAGGAGCGTACAGCAGAATCTCGTTACAACAAAGCATTTGGGACTTTAAAAATACTTCGTTATAAGCAAAACTTCGTTTTACCGAAATTAAAGTACCATCAACGCTAAATAAGACCCCAAAAATTGCTTCAGCAATAATTCGTTATAACGAGGTTCTGTTTTTTACTCAAGAATCATATCACAGTCTCGCAAATAGTTTATGCTTTTTTTTTGCGTCCAGCATCAATGTTGTAATCCTGATAAGAATAGACCGTACAGGAACACAGTATGAGAAAAAGGGTTCGAATCTATGTCAGACAATATTGCACGATCATTCGAAAGTCAAGTCCGACAATTTTTAAATTTGCTCTGGTGGATTCTGGAAGACCTTAATTACAATTTCAAGAGCTTTTTAAAATTAATGTTTACCTTCGAAGCATGCGAAGAATAACCTTTAAAATTTCAAGTAAGCCGCTAGTTGTTTCGAGAAGACCGGAAATGACGCATGTTTGCTTCTAGGAACATCTTTTTCTTATCTCCGTCATGTTACACAAGTGTAATGTAATCATTAAAAAACATATACAAAGCATGGAATTGAGCTTGACTCATCGTACTGCCGGTAGTTGTAAATGCGGTGTTGTATTTACAATTTGGCGAAATCATGAGAAGGTCCTTTCATAATTTTACGCAGCTATTCCTCACTTCACACAGGGTAAGACATTCTCTGTATGGTGGGAACGTACAGTATTTCCAAGAATTATTTGGAGCAGCCTTGCTTGTTTTTCCCTTGAAGAGAACGACACTCAACTGCATGCATTGAAAAGACTTCATTAAAAACATCTTGAGCCCCGTGGAATATGCATTCGAAGTTTCCGCAGTGAATCCCTCATCCAGTTGATCAATTTGCTGTTCCGAAGCGCGAGGCTTTCGTCGGAGAATTTCATTACACTTTTTGACTTGACTACCATAATTTTTTGACCATGACAGTTTGCACGAAAATTGCAGCTGCTTGTTACCCATCAAACTTTTGCTTGAGGATAAATTAGATCCATCATTATTTTTTAAAGTTCATGTTCGGCTTCCATGAACTTTGTGTTTCCCTTGATACCTTACACTAGGGCGTTTTTGTTTTTGATTTTGTAGTCCGCATTCTTGAAAAAAAAAAGATCGTCACGAACGCGAGGATCAATAGTACAGTACCAATCAAATTTTCTGAATTATAGCACGTAAGAAAAGCCGGTCAATCGGTTAATAATACTGTGCTGCACAATACAGTACAATATTTGTTTTTTTTGTAAAAGTTTTTTTTTGGCAAAACCAGCTGGTATGTCAATGAAAACATGCTGTGCTGCGAGTACCGTTTCCCGTATATTCATAATTGATTACATGTACTACATTTAATTTAAACTATAGAGATCAGTGTTCCGCAAAAATTCCGGAAACGGCTGAAAAAATCGCCTTTGACATTTGGCATGCTCTGCTTAAATCCCACGACGGCAGAAACGATTTTCAGCACTTTTCTAAACCCCTGCCAAGATTTTTACCCTTGATATACCGCAATCACAATTTTAGTAAAATGAACATACTGCGTTAAAACTTTGTTCATTACTGAATTTGATCAAAATATTAATTAAAAAAAACTATTTTTTCTCCAAAATTTAATACAATTTTTAGTTGAAATCCTCTCTTATGCAACTTTCTCAGATCCAGAGAGAGGATCTGATGTATGCCACTTTGATTCTCCTCGTGCTTCAATTACAACACTAACGAAGTTCGACTACTGGAAGGCTTTCTAAAAGTATAAATTAATCTTGAATTCTACGTAGTGCAATCTTTTGTTCGAGTTAAATCGATTTTACTTGGGATTGAGTTGTAGGTCAGAATTATTTATGCATACTACAGCAGCTGATCCGAATCAACACCTTCGAAAATGATTAATTCCAAGAGTTGCCTCCAGGTTTTCCAAGGTAAGTCCGCCATTTTCATCAACAGCCGCCTTCACAGCCGCCACATTGGCGGCTGTGTGAAGGAATTGCAAAGAGGGAGGATCTGGAGGCAACCCTTAGAAAGAATGCCACATTCATTTCAAGAATTCTCAGGGAAAAGCTGGGCTAAAAAAAAAAACTGCATGAAGGGCGCCTCATCTTTTGAGTGGATAGCTAAACTCTGCCAGGGTGAATTTTGCAAAACATTAAAAAAATTGTCACAACAGGGCTGATTCTTTTGTGTGCCAAAGAATATGTTTTCCATGAAGAATACTGTAATTTTTTTCAGCTCGATTAGAGACCATTTTCATTTCCATTCCGAGAACTTTTGTTAGAACCCTCGTAAGTAGAAGACAGGTACAGGACCACAAGTGCTCGTATATTTGATACAGCCGTCAACTATTCTCAGAAAAATTAAATATACTGTAATACAGTACATTTTTTCAGGGTGAAGAATATCCTTGTACAGTATATGCACGCATAATGCAGGCTCAATAGCGTACCTGCATAGACCTCCTGACGAGTATGTTCAGTTTGTGGACAGAGGAAAATTCTGATAACTGACGAATGTGTGAAGCTGATAGCAACTGAAATAAGTTTTTAATATGGCGTCCTTGGCGGTCGCACTGAACATGCGACTAAAAACGAAAGCACTTCGGATATGCCGGAAAACATCACAGATGCTGGAAAACAATGTAGTTTGATCGAGGGATGACCAAACGCATTCGCAGCAAGCTGCGATCGCATCACAAACCTTCGTGCGAAAAAGCAAAGCACTCCCAGGAGAATCCAACGAGTATATACAGCAGTAACAGTACAGTATATAGTCGAAATAGCCGCGGTTTTTCGACCGTTCACCGATGAAAACGCGCGAGGTTTTACACCCTCATCGCGAGCGCCGTTTCCGCAGCGAAACCACTTAGCGGAATTAGTTTCCCGTCTCCGGGGCCACTCAGCAGAAACATTGCAACAATGCTGGACCTCAAGAATACGGCCCGCCCGTAATTAGATAAAAATCCATCTCGCCGATTGCAGCACGAGCCGAACACCTCGGCCCTCCTTTGCACGTAACGCTTTCGTGTTCGCGGGGGACGGCGGAATTCCCTTTTTTTGCATGCAAGGAAAACCTCGCCAAAAAACCCATAGAGTGACTGGTCAAATCCGAAACAGGGCCCAGCAAATTTTGCGCAGTTTCCTCTACGCCGTATAAGGGTGAGATAATTTCTTTGTAAAGAATGGCAGGCGATTCCCGTAACCAAGAGCGGGATGAATTTTCCATCGATTTATTTCATGTGAAGCTTCCTTCCTTATATTGTGGGACTTGCAACCTCCCAAATTATTTTTCCTCACAGCACCGGGATTCAGGCTGCGAACAGCAAAATCCTTGTTACGCCATCTACTCGTCATACCTCACCATCAATCATATCGTGACCACATGTAGTACAACATATATTTCTATACCCATGGGCATGAGCCAATACTATTTACGAAGAAAATTGGAAAAATGCATCTCAATCCGAATTGTCATTTCTCATATAATCAAGACACACAGCACTAGCTTATTGGTCCTAGATTATACAAAAAAATGTATATTCCGCAATTTAGTACAACACTCGAACGTATCTGAAAGTAAAATCATAAAATTCATCCGAAATTTGACAGCAAATCTAATCGAACTCACCTGAAGAAAAAAGAAAACCTCGATATACAATCGAAAGTGCCGTGATTTTTCGATCGTTCACCGATTAAATGTAGTGAAGCCAATGTCAACAATCTTTAACTAAACATGCGCCATGAATATCAAAACATGAATAATCAAAAGACGTTCAAATACGAACATACCTGAGAAAACTCAAGTTAATTCATCAAAATTCGCTCTTCCCATTAAGATGCGGGCTGAAAATAACAACAAACAGCACTCATTCACAAGCAGCTAGAACAGCAGATGATGAAACATCTACTACTGTATTTCAAACAATTTTTCCCAAGGCATCAGATGACCGGATTGCGTCAGAAATAAAGACATTCAAAAATTACCTGTCATCCTTGAAGCAGATCACATTCATGTATAGAAGCCGCGATCTTAATCTACCGGAAGGCGTTTTCATCCGAGAATGTTGTCATAAAAAATTACCGTCCTCTGAAAATCAATGATAGCCCGGCGAATGGGATGCACCCAGTGCGCGCTTCTGGTGCTCGCAACAATGCAATCAATGTTCGAGTGGCAGCCAGCTGGTGAATTGTGGCATCACACGGAAGGCGTCCGGCCGTGTCGACTTACTTCGTCGTGCGTACTCAGCCAGATTGGATGGAATCTAGTAATTGGACGCCCAGGTAAATTTACTGTGATTCCTTCAGGTCATTCGGATCCATCAAAAATAGATCAATACGAAAAACGAGTAAATTCAGTCACAATCACAGTTATTACAGGCTTACACGCAACAAACTCGCAGAAAATCACGGTTGAGACTGAGAGTGAATAAGCTTTACGATTCACTTCTCCCTGTAGTAGAATAAATTCGAGAGTTCACTCTCTTTCATCAACGATATTCAGGTTACAGCAACTTCCTTGAATTCCAGGATGCAAACCGATACAAAGGTTTCAGAATTAACCAAAAAGATTTTTTCCGCGATCTCTTTCGTTCTGCTTTAGCACAGGACACACGTGTCAAATGATGGAAACAAGGCTTCTTCTTTACACAGTGAGACTCGATTCAACATGAACATTTTTCAACGAAGTAATAATTTTGGCCATGAAATATAATAGCAAGAACTGCCTTCTCAAACGGACGAACAATTTAAATAACGATGAGCATACTAACTAGAAGTTTGAACTTACACTAGCTATCACATGCACAAATACGGTAATAATCGTACTTCAGAAAACGATCAATAAAAAGAGTTGCATTCCACGAATTTCCAAACAAAAGAACAGCATAATTCGAGGACGAATCCTCGAGTGCAGTTTAAATAAACAAATCTTCCAATATGTCCTCAGGTTTCAACAGCCGGGTCCCGCATATTATTATCCGCTTGTCACTTCTTCCGCCAATTTCGTTTCGCAGAGTTCTGATTTCGTAAGGAGATAATCCACCCAGAACGGCAACAATGATTGTATCCGCGTCCCCAGGGTGACGGGATTTCTTGGACTTCATCAGAAACCTTCCAAGAGCAAGAGAAACGTGAGCGACCGACTGTGAAAGAATCGTGTTGAAAGCTGCCGAAATACTTACCCTAATCCACTTTTCAGTAAATCACGTAGACCCTCTTCCTCGGACGGACGATGGCTTAAGGTTGTTATCTCAGGCTTCGCAGGACTGACAACACCTTTGAGTAGCTCGGAAATCAAGTAACTGTATTCCGCCGGGAAATAAGGATCCTTCTGCACTACCAGCTCACTGAAAACGTTCATCGCACGCATTTCCTAATCAGAATATTGCTTCCTGTTTTTATATTTCTTTATGACTCACTGGAACTGCGACGACCATTTCTTTCGTCGTGATGCCACCCATGAGAGTTTTTCACAGATTTTCCGGCCCGCCATTCTTACTGACACCTCGTCAATCTCTTGACCGACTGAAATGAAGCAAACCAAAATGGTGTCTCGGTCAAGAGACGTCTCGCATCGCAGTGTTTTGACAGAACACACTTGGGTTGCCAACTACTCCTGCTAAGTATAGCAGATAGCGTTAAAAAGGATCATACCGAAAAACTTCGAAGTTTTCGGAAAATGTGGCTGATACATCATTCTCACTTGGGACAATAGCTTTTTTCGATTTCTTGAATTTGTTGGAAATTTTGAAAATTGATGTCGAGTTTTCCTTCTGTTCTATGTTTATTGACTGGAATAAATAGGACTACAGTATTCACGTGACTTAATATGCGATCAGACCCATATCCCTCGCATATAAAAAAAAATAATAATTCTAGAAAAAAATCGACAGGCGGCTGAGACTGGTTCGAATCTTATTGAATGACCGGGAAATACGGGAAGCTTTCAATAATTCAGGAACTTGAGTTTGAAATAGTGTATACGTCTTCGGAAAATAATTTCCCATTGGATTTACATTACTTAGTCATCAATAACGGAACCAGTTTGCTGATCGAACCATCACTGCATTCCGTGAAAATGTCCGATTATCTTAATTAGCCCGATATTCGAATTCATAAAATAAAAACTAACCAAACCCAAAACTTAAATCGCGATACGTTTGATACACAGTAGTAATTTACGCGGAAAAGGTTCCTCACCAATTTTAGCGCAAATCTTCGGCAAATTCTCTTGATCTTCCCACAGCGCATCGATTAATGAGAGTTCAATTTCAGGCCCACCGGTTGGACTACTCCCTCGACTACTATTCTCCCGGTTGTCGTCATCATCGGTATCCATTGAGTCGAACAAACGCAACACTGATTCTCCGAATAATGAAGCACAGAAAACCAACAATCCTAAGACATCATCCAGAGTTAAATCTTCGTCATGTCTACATCGTATCCATCGCTCGACCTGTGAAAAAGTAACAGTTACGTGAAAGTATACCGTACTGTACCTAAGGGAATATGTACTACGGCAAATTTTCAAACCTCTGGGATGATCAAATCAAGCAAATCGCCGTCTGGGTCGTGTTTCATCCAAAGATGTACAAGATTCCGCTCAGCAGACGCGAGATAATTTCGTTTTGCTTCTTCGTCAATAGCAGCCTTCGCTAACAAGCACATTTGCATAAAGGATGCCGCTTCTTTGACTTTTCCTACAGCTTCGTAGAACCTCGAAGTGTAATCTCGCAGAACTTCGCTTCTATTCTCGGACAGGTTTTCGTGCTCACTCGCGTCGTGGAACTCATCGTCGTCGTTGGGCAAAACCGCGTCACACTTGCTGAAAAATTTCTTCAAACAGCGGTCCTTCGGATCCATGAACGCGGACGAGAGTAACCCCGGCTGCTCAGCGAGGATATCCGAGAGGCAACCAGGAAAAACTTCCGTTCTATGAGTAAACAACAGTGACTTGCACTAATTAAACTCTTCACATCCTTCCTAAATGTAAAGCGTTTTGAGCAAGGCGATTCAATCACTAATGCGACCCACGGGAAAGCGAATATTCCAGGGAGATATGAATTTGAGTTATCATATTATTCTCGTAAAATGAAGAAGGAGCAGCTAGTAAAAAATTCTTCATCAGTGAAAAGCCAAACTTGTGACGTCCATCACCAGTAAAAATGAGAGAGATGCGGGGGAAAGTTGTAGCATTCAAAGGAATAAGGCGATTTTTCAATTTGTTGCTAGGTGAATAGCGATCTGGTCTCTAGTGAATGGATTAAACTGGGATTAATCGTTTTTTTCCTTTTCAAGACACTAAGCTTCCATTCTGACGGGATATTGCCAGATTTTTTCCTTTTCTCACTGTTCAATTTTCATACGAAACACGTCTGAAAACTAAATATTCACAACTTGAGAAAAAAAAACAGTATAATCGAGAAACACTAACCGCGTGGTCTGTTTCTCCGCGATTATTGGTATCATGATAGTCAAATCGGAACTATGTCCCGGAAGGTGCGGGAAAAACTTGGATGAAAACACGGATTCTGCGACGGATCCTGTCCAGTGCCCACTAACAGAAGTCAAATCAGCGGCTCTGTCCACAAGAATAACATGAGCAGCATGTTTGTCAGACTGATTCAAGCGTTTATCGACCCTCGACGGCCAAAGTCCGTCTTCGAAAGCGGCAGCAATGAAATCCCTTGACAGCTTCTCCGAATTGGAGCCCGGGGTGTAAAAAACTTCCGGACGTGACGAGCAAATTGTTGAGCAAAAGTATGCCAAAGAAAAGGCGAAGTGACGAAAAAGTACAGGACTCGATTCCCCCATCAAGTCTAGTCCGACGCATGTCGGAAGCAAGATCACGTCTTCCATCAGCTGAATATGGGCGGCCAGAGGATGGGGCCTGATCTCGACCGTCGAATTCTAAAGAAAAAAGGTTAATTTTCACATCCTCATATCAACAATAGAAAGATGAAAATACGACTAAAATCGAGGAATGCTTGCTTCCGCGTAGTGACAGTCGTAATCCACCCAACACCCGTGATGATTTTTATGCAATAAAAAAAAAATAAATTTCCATCCAAAAACGCATTAGAACTATGCCATACTCGTCTACTTATGATGATTAAAATTTTTTTTCAAAAGCCACGGTTATAAACTTATTCGTATCAGGCCACCAGCCGTAACATAATTCTTCGTTCCTATAGTTTTCATTGCATCAACAGCTTAAATGCTTTAAATGATACAAAGTTCACAGATAGAATTCCACTTCGTCATGGAGTATTCTGGCGCAAAACTTTCATGCTTAAAACTTGAACCCGGTGAAAAAAGGAACATTAAAAAAATCGTATTACGTCGCACGTCACGGACTGACGAAGTCTTTCAAACACGCGGATGCTGCTTCAAAAAAATGAAATGACGGTGTAAAATGTTTTCATTTAAAATATTTATTTTTTTCGAAGGCGTAGTCCTGAACATGGTTGCGATGTTTCTCGGTAAAAAATATATATGCTTTTCAGCCAAGAGAAGTTCGTAGCAAGATTTTAATTTCATTGCAATGACAATGTGCCTTTGAAAAAACAGCAATTGTTTGCGGACACTCACAGGATTACCGGTCCATTGCAAAATCCCAATTTCCATTTCTTCCAAAATATCCGCGTTCAATTGGGCTTGTTTGCCATCAATTTGATTTGGATTAGCCGGGGAGCTCTTATTCTTCAGAAATCTATGTATTCCGGCAGAAGCAGCGGTGATGACGACGCAATAGTCATAGCGATGATTAGAGATAATCACCCGCAAAGTATCACGCGAAGGACCGGCTAGCGGTCCTCGCAAAACGAACACAGCCTACATAAAATTAAAAAAGGACGGTTAGGCTTTTATTTCCTGATGAACAATAAAAAAATAACGCAAATGCAGGAAATTAAATTTTTCGGTTACGATTTCCAATGGTTTGAACTTGGAAGCATTAGCCTGAAAGAGAGAAAGAATCCCTTACCATCATAACACACCTTTTTTGCTCCAACAACAGTGGGGGCATCTTTTGAAAAGCAATGCACGGCGAGGGCACCAGCACCGAAAAGCTGGCTCACCCCACCGTTCCACTGCAGACATTCTGCCATCACGCCATCCATGTACACAACAGCTCTGCGTGTTTTCTGCAACACTTTTCGCCACGCGGAGCCGAGCATGGCCTCGAAACTTCTTTCGGAAACGTCGACCATGACGAAGGCTGTTTAAACATACGCGGAAAACGAGAAAATGAACCTGACTTTGAGAAGTTCATTACTTAGGATATAAAAAATGAATGCACTTGAAGACATCAAAATTCTTCAACCCTATATCGCATCTTCACAACGAAAAAATGATAATCCACGAACTCCATCATCCATAAAATATTGCAGGCTTAAAAATAATTGACAGACACCAGCGGAAATGGTTTGCGTCATTTACTGATAAATCATTACCGGCTTCGGTCGAAGGTAACTGCTTTCTGACATTTTCAGTCTCACTGTAGTCCGAAGCTCTGAACAATGAATAGCCAAAAAATAAACTTACCGCAATCACTGCACGAGAATCATCCGTAAGTCCCGCACTCAACATGATCAATGCGTTCACATATTTTCGATAAAAGTCGACTACTTAGAAGTCGAGATGACAGCCTCAAAAGAACCAATCCACTGCATACACACAAAACGCGAAGAAAAGCTTCAAGAAGTACAAATTTATAGAATAAGATCGTAGACTGTCCGCCGAAGTGGAGCAGAGGACTAGCGAAATTGGTATTTCCTCTTGTACTGAGGTAAGTTCATTCAAAAGTAGTCCATGGCGACTTAGGAGCAGGCGACTGGCAAGAAGATTCCTCCAACAATGAATCAAAAAAAGCTTTTCGCGAAGAAACCGTATTGAGAGCAGTATTTGCAGCAGTTGGAAGCGGAACCAACGGCGGCGGCAATACGGGCGGTCCAGAAGCAGCTGAAGGCCCATTGGGTGAGATTGATAAAGAAGGAAATGCAGCGGTCAAGCCGGACAAACTGGAGGACGAAGAACCTGAAAAAAAAAGAGATTTCCACACTGAAAAATACGTCTTCGAGCAGGAATATACAGCCTTCATAGAAATTTTGAAAGAGGCCTGGGAATAATCGGAGGATATCCAGCAGTGCTTTCTAAGATGCGATGAATTTGAAAAGTGTGTGCAATGCCAAAACTTTCCTCGCAAACGCTTACAGATCTTCCAAAAATGTTTACACGCATTTGGCATGATCAGGTAAAGTTTTAGATGCGATGCTGCAGAAGACATGTTGAACACACACATATCTACAAGTCTCTCGAAGGCAATTACAGTACAGGTACAACGTAAAACTTCTTGTTCTTCATAACCCACGTTAAGTCGTTAACTACATATCTCAACACAGTCGCTCAGTAATGTCTTGGACACCCCACATATAACCTCAGAGCGGTGAATTTCGTTCTAGATACTAACATTTTTACCTCATGTGAATAACCATCAAATCAACAATAAAAGACCTGCACTTCTAAAAGCCGTTCGTAAATATTTTTTTTTTCAAACAGAAACACTCCACATTCAACGAACTTTTCCGGACTATGTGAAAAAGACAGGGCATACCCGACTGTACATGCTTCGAATGTTTCCAGCCTCAACATAGGGATTATGGATTCGAACGATGCACAGATGGAAACACTTGAAAACGGCTGTAATGCCTCGAACATCTTCTGAAGTCAGATGGAAGACTTACCAAACGGAAGCAAAGGAGTCGCCGCAGGCTCTGCGGCATTGCTGGCGGGTTTAAAGGTCGATGGGCCTGACTCAAATGATAGCTTTTTCCTGGCAGGAACTGGCGGCAAAGGTGGTTGATCAGAAGCTTCGGGATAGTGAAGTGCATAAAGTGGATTCGGATGTCCTAGCGGACTTGGTCGCTCAGGCGGCTCTGGTGGTACATCACATAACAAATCTCCGACACTTCGACCACGAGATAGCTTATCACTTTCAAAATTTGTCGTTGCTGACAAACGAGCGTCAAAGGCTTGTTTCAAATCCTCAAGTAAATCGAAGTCTTCGTGCTTCGGAGGCTCGAGATCAACAGATGAGGAGGATGAACTGAGCGACGGAGTCCCCACAGCGTCTAACTCATCATTGAAAAAAACCAGCAAGTCGCTTTTCGCATGATTTAAATCACCGTTTCCAGAAGTTCGCACGATTTCACTTTCTCCACTGTTAAAAAAAAAATACAGAAAATTAACCAAAAATTTCTGGAAAAAAAAGAAAAGAAGCAAAGAACCCACCTAGCGGGAATGTTGATATCCGTCAGAACTCTTCGGTGCATACTTCCTACCGGACGCTTGATTTCTAAGGACCCCTGTTTTCTTCTACGCCTGATAGTCGGAGATGAAGATTCTGACTGCAACTGACCAGGACTTGAAAGCTCTCGTTCCACGCCTAGTTTTGATCTGATATCACGTACGGCTGACTGACTTTTTGTTTTCACGGATTTACTCTTTTCTTTCACCTGTAAAATTGATTCCAATATTAATCACTGTTTCAACAATAAGAAAAAGTTGCACGACTGACTGTTTGCACGGCAGTTTTAACAGCGGGATTCGCTTTTGTGCGAACGGTCTTCAACAAATGACCGCCCTCCTTCTTGACACTACCCATCCAATCCTTCAGCACAGCTGACGGAACGCTTTTTGATTCAGAGGTAACAGCATGCAGAGCTGCTTCCAATTCAAACTCATCGGAGAATCCTTGTCCAGAGTTCATGATTTCCACACGTTCATCAACAAACTTGAATGAATCAATTTAAAAAAATTAGAAAAGAGAATACAATACAGTATAATCAAAACACAAAATTTTCAGGTCCAGCCAGGATTCCAGGAAATTAAAAAAATCTGAACCACAGAAATAAAGGTGGAACTCCCACTACAACAATCTCGTCTACAAAGATTTTCTTTGGTAAAGATTTTCCCTTGGTTCCAAAGGATTCTCTCCCAATGTTCTAGAGGTTTTTAACATAAAAATTTTTGCATTGGTCCCCCGAATTTTGTTGTAGGGAGAGTACAACGGTATACAGTAAGTTTATCCAATGGATTCAGAAAAGTACCAAAAGAAAATTCAAACAAGAAAAATAGTATCCAGTAGGGGCAGGAACAAAAAAAAGGTGACAAGCACCCATGGACTATTGGTCTACAAGAGAACCGGAAACGATTTACTTTTTTCGAAACGTTTCTTAATCTCCCAAAAATTGTACGATTTTAAGGCCCTTTACAGATAAAGAATAATTTTTATGAAACACTCAAACAATCATAACATGAAAATTAGACCATTCATTCTGCAGGAAATATTTCTGTTGTGATCAACGTTCTTGAATCTTTTCACAAAGTCATAAAATAAATGAGAAAAAAAAGAGAAGCATTGGACGTGACGAAAATCTGATTCTCTAGAACAAATTAATTTATGCTTTTTCCTCGTTAATTGCCTGGAAAAGAGTGATTTCTCCCCCTACTTATCACGAGACGATTTTTTATCCGAAGTATATGATAAAATTGGGTACCTGCTGAAAAATTTGTGAGCACAGCATCTCCTTCAGATATGGCTGAGTAGATGGAGGACGGGTTTTGATGAACATGTCATGATCAAATAGCACTTTCTGTCCATCCTTGAGTCGAAGCGCATCTCGATAACCTCCTATGAGCGCAACCAACGCCCTCAGAAAGGCACGACTCACGCCTTCCCCCATCAGATTAGTAGGATTGTTCAAGCTCTTCTTCAAATGGCTGAGCTGCACACACAATAAAAATTACATCAAGGAGAAAACATGAAAATGATGAACTCACAATTTCAGGAGGAAGTCCATCCGCATCTCGAAACGGCGATTCAATCCGATTATCATCAGCGTTCAAAATGACAGCTTCACCAATCTCATTCCGTCGAACTTTCTGTATAAAAAATCCTTGATAAGGGAGAACTTTCTTGTCTTGAACTTTTAACTTACTGCAAATATTGGAGCAGGAACGCCAACAAGGAATGGCATGGGAGCAGAGAGATACTCGATCAATTTGAGCGGCAATAATGGAATGAATATGTGCTGCCAGTTCATTGGTGCGATTAACGAATTAGCAGCCTGAACGCAGGCTGACAGTCTCGAAAGTTTCTTCGAAACCACGATTATTCTTCTTTCCCTCAGCATCGCAGAAAATATTTCAATCATGCAGTTGATGTCAACTGCATTGACATATTCCATCAAATTTATCTGGAAACATTCAAACGCGATGAGCCTGAAACTTTCGACAGTAAAATATGAATAATCATCTTACATTATCCGGAATTTTCGGAAGACTAAAATGATCCGGACAAGCTACTGAGAAACTTCCGTTTGCAGCATCAAGAAGCGAGATGGACAATTGTTTTCCGGGTTCGGGTAGTCGCGAGGAGTACAAAGCTTGTAGAAACTTCATCAACGCGGCCGTTCGACCAGAAAACAGAAGCGACGCTATTTCGTTCAAGATTTTGAAAAAAGGTTCGTGCCATGGAAGACAAGACAAGATCACTAGCGCTGTGTCGGACGCGGCATTGCCTCCGGAATGTCGACAAAATCCAAAAGTCCATTTCGAATCTACGTTTGTCAAGACAAAGCTCCAATGTTGAACCACAACCCTGGTACAGAAAAAGGACATCAGAAATTACACTCTCCCTTGTGCTAAGAGACTCACTTCTCATAGTCGCATGGAAATACAAAATCTGGCATTGACTTCAGAACTTCTTGATTGTTGTAGTTTTCCGGGAATTTCTGCAGGATCCATGGCTTTGATACAACACCGTCAATACCGTCTGCGACAGGACATGCAACTTCGCAGAAACAGTCGAAGACGTTCGTTGGATTGGACCTTGCAAAGAAAAAAATTAATTTCGTAGATTCGATTAAAAAAGGATACGGGGAAAAATCTCACCTCAATCGAGACCCAAGTGCACTGATCTTCATCAGAAAATTAATTGAAGTTTAGTTTTCTGATTCCGGACAGCTCCGAACACCACGAAATTCCCCCAAATGAACCCTAAATTTCTGAACGTGGGAGACCTCCCACAATTTCAGTCCGTCAAAATTCAGCGCTACTCCAGTTTCAATCAGCGACCCAGCTGGTTTTCACAAGGCGCCGCCATAACACTGAATACTCACGACATCTATGGGCGTATAAAGGAACTTACATTTCAATATCAACGTTGAGATACAGAACAGTACAGTACCTGTACTGTATTTAAATACTGTATGGGTGTCGAAGCCGAACTTCTCCCTGGTGCTCGTAGCTTAAAAAAATTGTTTCATCTACGTATTTTTCTGGCCAGTATTCGCATGTGTCACTTTCGCGAATTTTTTCCCATGTAAACATTTGAATACAGTATTTTAACATGCGACAATGGTTCTCCTTACGAAAGCGTGTTCCATGCTGGGTACGCACGTCACAGGACGACGATGTTTCGGAAATATATGTTATGACATTAAAGCGAAGTGCTTACTTTTATAGCGCCATGACTTAGCAAGAGTTGCAAACTTTCTTATAGTTCGAAATGTTCTTACCGCATTCAGTGTTCGACGATCTTGCAAGTCTCCCGGCACTCCTACAATATAGGCAATGGTGCATAGATGTCTTCCAATACTTCGCATTAATTTCACAGCAATAAATAATTTACAGGACGTTCGAATCGTTAAATTTTGTAATTCGTGATATGTGATGGGATATTCAACGCGTGGAAGATGTCACTGCAAAAATTATGGATCGCTGGCTCAGTTTGCAGATCACAGATTTGCTAGTTTTTGCAGCAGGCTGGCTTCGAGGTCATTAAGAATACCCGCTGGGTCACCAAAACTGCTGGAATCGCGCTGGGAATTGAATTACCTTACAGTATTTACTAATCATGGTGCGCGCGACCTCTTTCTGGACGTATAAAACCTACGCACTCTTTAAGTGGGTCTTTGGATTGGGTTTACACGTGTTTTTAGATTGGGACGAGACGTTCTAGACATGGGGTCAAAACAACCTTTTGCTGAATATCAAAGAGTGTGAAATCTATTTTAGGTTTTGGTCCTTTTTTGCCAGTCATATTTTGTCATTCCTGTCCTTTCACTGTCAACAGAAGAGCAGATGAAAAAAGATTGCAATTTATGACAGCTTCCTCAATTGGATAAATATTTTCCCATTATTCATTTACTGTACTTCCTGTTGCATCTCCAAATGATATATACGGTATAAGCCACTGCAGAACTACTAAATGAGTTTGCACGTGGAAACTTTTTTCACCCGGAATCAAAAAGCTTCGCACGTCAATAAACAGAACGATCCTGTAATTGAAACACATTCTGGCGCAAAAAAAAACTATGTAGCATATTTTTAAGTTTGCTAAAACTCCACAGAAAATATCTTGAGCAGCGATAATTAATTCTGAGCCGATCTTAATAAAAAAAAATTAGGCTTCATGTATTCCCATATGCAACAATTAATTTATGTTTAAAAAGGGCGCTTTGATTCAGATTGATAAAAGTTTGCAATATTGTATTCCTACGTGACTGACACAGTTACACTGAAAGGTATGCATATTATATAATTCATCCCCCTCGCCTGTGCAGAAATATTTCGAGTAAAATTGCATTCCTTCGTCCGGGCACTATATAGAGAGATTCACGTCAACTGTGAACGGATTTGCGCGAATTTGCATTTGAGATTTTTCAACATGGTTCGTTGACCGAGCAGCTTGCGTTCTATTCGTTCCACGCAGATCAAAGGGGGGTTGTGAGATTCGCACGCAGTTCCAAATTCGATTTCAGTTCTCTTCTCCCCATATATACCTCAACACCCCCCCCCCNAATTGAATTACCTTATTTACTTTAGTACCACGCGCGCTGGAGAAAGACCTGCATATTTTGGATGCGTGAGAAATTCACCCAGAAACCTAACCCAAATGTGCACAAAAATCTAACCCTGCTCTGCAAGATCTGTACCCCAGTTTTGTTGTTTTTGCTGAATATCAAAGAGTGTAAAATCTATTTTAGGTTTTGGTCCTTTTTTGCCATTCATATTTTGTCATTCCTGTCCTTTCACTGCCAACAGAAGAGCAGATGAAAAAAGATTGCAATTTATGACAGCTTCCTCAATTGGATAAATATTTTCCCATTATTCATTTAATGTACTTCCTGTTGCATCTCCAAATGATATATACGGTATAAGCCACTGCACAACTACTAAATGAGTTGGCACGTGGAAACTTTTTTCACCCGGAATCAAAAAGCTTCGCACGTCAATAAACAGAACGATCCTGTAATGGAAACACAATCTGGCGCAAAAAAAACTATGTAGCATATTTTTAAGTTTGCTAAAACTCTACAGAAAATATCTTGCGCCGCGAGAATTAATTCTGAGCCGATCTTAATAAAAAAAAAGTAGGCTTCATATATTCCCATATGCAAAAATCCATTTATGTGTAAAAAGGCGCTTTGATTCAGATTGATAAAAGTTTGCAATACTGTATTCCTATGTGACTGACACAGTTACACTGAAAGGTATGCATATTTTATAATTCATCCCCCTCGCCTGTGCAGAAATATTTCGAGTAAAATTGCATTCCTCCGTCCGGGCACTATATAGAGAGATTCACGTCAACTGTGAACGGATTTGCGCGAATTTGCATTTGAGATTTTTCAACATGGTTCGTTGACCGAGCAGCTTGCGTTCTATTCGTTCCACGCAGATCAAAGGGGGGTTGTGAGATTCGCACGCAGTTCCAAATTCGATTTCAGTTCTCTTCTCCCCATATATACCTCAACCCCCCCCCCCCTATAAAACATAAAACAGAAATTCTCCTACTTTATATGTGTCTAGGATATACTGTACTTCTGCTTCAAATCTGCAGCGGTGACATCAGCATTTTTCAATCTCGGCAACCGCATCTGCTCGGCTATCCTCATTATATCATCCCCTGCTGATTTTTTTTGCGCGACTTTTTTCACGCTGTTTTTTGCACTGTCAAGTGCTTTTCTCGTGAGTGATTTTGCTCCATCGAGCTGCTGACTGCATATTTCTAAAACGCGAGGCTTGTTGCATTCAGACGGGTGCGGAACATTAATTTTGCTAAATCTAAAAACATTGAAAATGTGTACCCCTGTGAACACGCCCATATTGGGAACTTTCAATTTTGCAAAATAAATATGGCGTTTTGAAGAAAAGAGTAGTCTTGACTCCTGAGGCACTTATTTTTGAAAAAAGGACAATGGTGCTATATATTGGGAAATATAGGTTTAAATTTTATGAAATCTTCATTTTTTCGGTTGAATGATCAAAATCAAATTTAGAAAGTTGTGGTTCCAATAAATTACAGCGCTGGTAATGTGGAACGGGCATAAGAATAACATTTTGGGGGATTTCAAAAGACAGAAAAGTGCATTAAAAAATTCTGCATGTCCGTTGAATTATAAAATACTGTATTGGGTGTTATTAGGACAATTCAGGGATTGGCTAAAAACAAAATTTATTTTTAGACTGATTTTTTTCAGCTCAAGTCTCATATAAACATAAAGACGCGTTTGAAAATTGTTGCACCACTTTGAATTGTTGACAAGGAGATAAATTTTAAATGCGCGTAAGTAAGCAACATTTTCTTACAAACACAAACGTTCAACTGCAAGTTTTCCTGATTTTTTTTCTAAAGCAGTCTTTCACAAGTGCGTATTTTCAGGTGCAAAGTATGTTAATTAATTCATCAGATCACATCACAGTTGAAGAAATGATTGGCAAACATCTTCATTTTTTATTTAGTGTTTCAATCCGATCCTACGTTGAATGCCATGCTGGGAAAGTGAAAGTCATACTTTCGATTGATTTGTTTAATGCAACATAAAAAAACTAATAATTTTGCTTTTGTCGTTAGTCTATAAAAGACTGAGTGACATAAAGTAACTTAGTGGAAAAGTTAATGGTTTAACTAAACAACGATACTTAACTTCTGTAGACACTTTTTTTGTACAGAAACTGATCGAAGATCGTCAGAGTGGGATGAAAAAAAAAAACCGTCGAATAGCGAAAAATAATGCCGTGTACCTATTTTTTTCTGGCTCAGAATGACCTCTTGTAATCACATTCCAATTGACATAATTCTCCTGCCATAAAACCTTCGCTGTCCAGTCATTTTATATGGCAATTCTCGACACTGTTCAGCGGTGCACCTAGATTTTTCCATCAAGGGTAGTTGATGAGACAATAAATGACCGCTTTGAACTCGTCAGGACGGTGCCCTTTGGCGATCCCACAAAATTTATGTTTTTAATATAGTATCATGTAAAAGGAAATGCATGTTGCAGGATATGAACGTGTGTTCTCGGAATGACATTTTGGATTTCAGCTGGTCTGTCGATAAGAATCTACTCGCGCGCGGCATGTGTTGAGATGGATTCAGCTCCCCCGGCATTCAGCCAAAAAATGGTTCCCCGCTCTGATTTTGCGGAAAATTGTCAGCCAACAGCCACCTGCCGTTTTTTCCTTTCCATCGCTTTAAAAAAAAAAAAAAAAAAACCCCAGCGCATATATGAAGCTTACATAAAGGAAAAAGAGCGAATTTGCTGACCAAGCTTCGACGTACAGTATTTCCTCACCACGCCGAAACCCACAGCAGCACGTTTTGAATGGCGGTGGACGATCAGATCTGATTTTCTTCCCCGGTCTCATTCACCCATGATCGATGCAGTCCACCAGTTTTTCCCCTGCTGTTCCCTGCTGCATATTGTGCAGAACTTCCGGGTGGTTTCCGGGGTCCAAATATATATATTTTTTTTTGCGCCTGTGGCAAAATAGGCATTGCACTTGCGTGTGAGCCGAAGTATGGTATATCTGTAGTTGTGGTTGGGGACAATTTAGTTACTATTAATACCGCATCGATGAAGCGGGCTTTCTCTCTTTTGGCAGCTTCCGACATCGATCCTCGTCCGATTCGATTATAATCCCCAACAAGTGAACCTCTGATTGCAGATGAATGATGACAGAAGTCAATAAATGTTTTGGTGAAGTTGAAAAAAAAACTTCTATGGATGGATTTTCTGACACAGTTCATCTTGAAGGAGTTTTCTTATATCTCCGCCCAA